CCCCAAAAAAAAGAGAGAAAAGGTTGTATCAGGAAGCCTCCATCGGGATTTGTTTTGAATAGTTTGTGTGTAATTTCCCACACACACACTTCTTCCAAAGCTGGTATCTACATTGGGGTCTGTCAGGTTGTATGGGATGCAGGCTCTGACCTTTCTCTGTTCTCCTTGATCTCTGACAATACTTGACCTCAGGATTAAAAAGTGTAAGAAGTTCTGCAGACAATAGCCTAGACAGGAATCACAGTCCCCATGAACATAAAGTAATTCCCAACCTAAACCATATGGCAAGGGAGACACTGGAAATTTATACAGATGACCTGTATTTTCCCTGCCTCCAGAAACTAGTGGTTAAATTTGAAAATAAAAAGCTTGTTATTCTCTCAAACTTTCCTTCTGTAGCCTGTGATCTCTGCAGTTCTAAGTATTTAGTCTTGAACACATATACACCTGCTGGAACGGCAACAGTCCAGCTCTCAGATAAATTTATTATCAGCTTGATCAGATAGACTCAAAAAACCTACTCATGCAGCATGTTTGTTGTCCATTCTCCTGCCTGATATCCTGCTGATGCAAGCTCAGCAGCTGACAACATTACACAGACATCAAGTTTTTAAAGCCAGAAACACTTAAGAACCAGAGAGGATTGTAAGAAACTGTGGCTGAATGGCCCAAAGAAATGGTAATTTCTTCATGCAGAAAAGGGAAATAAGCAGCCTGCACAAGACATCACAGAAGAAGCAGGCAGCAGTAACCAAGTCATTAAAGGTTTAATTTCACATCATTGCACCGCTTCCATTCTGCATGGTTTAGGACCAAGAGACCTAAGTCGGGAGCACCCATGCTAGCTTTGCAGTGATTTGTAACAGTGAAACATCTCAGAGTCGTCGCCTTAACTTTCCCCGAGGTGCTGCTACTGCCAGGAAATACAGCGTTTGTCTTAAGAGTCTGCAGAGAGGCGAAAGTATTTGCACTAAGCGGCATGATCCTGCACTCATCTCACTGGGAAGGAAGATACCATGTAACTATTACTCATTGGCAAAGAGCAAGCTGTTTTCTGTTTCTGGGATTCAGGCATTTAGCATATTTGTGGTAGGTCTTCAAAAGACTTCAGCAGTAAGCCTCTGGCTAAGCATTTCCTTGTTAAGTCTTGTTATCAAACATCCAGATAACATCATTAGGCCCCACTGTGCCTGATATGCAGACCACCAAATACTCAAATCCTTAAAGGGGAGCATTCACAGAGGGTGGAGATACAGATACTGGTTTTTTGTTTTGAAGTAAAAAAAATGTTTTATTATAGTATCTAGAATCAACCTTTGACAAATAGCAACAATGATGATAGAAAATTAAAGATTGATTCTTCTGAGAACAGTAGAACTAGTGGAGCTTGCCTTCCTACAGATGCACCCATAGAGGTGGATTCATGAAGAGAAATCCATAGCTAGCTATTAATACACAGAAATTAGTTCTGGCACAGGAAGATTGGATTGCAAACTCCTGGCGGCTGAGAGAGTATCCAGGAAGGTATCAGTGTATACTCGTCCTAATATAATATGTTCCTCTAGACTTCTGCTTTCGGCTAGTGCTCTTTCATAGAAAAACTAAGTGGTTTATCATTGTTCTTAGAATATAGGAAAAACCCAGCTAATAAACACTCTAATAGAACAGCTGAATTCTCCCTGCTTTTCCCATTGAAGAGGCACCGATGTGTCTGCTGCTGATTTTCAAAAAAAACCTGAAGTATATTTTGGCCTGTGGGTTCAAGATTTACTAAAGAGGAATCATACACATTGGATCACATCCACTTGGTTCCCTTAGCCTGCCCCTCTGAGAACTGGAGACATTTGTTTTGCTTTACACCAATTTTGATGTGAAATCTTATGGTTTTTCCTTTTTCTCTTAATCAGGCTAGCAATTTATACAGTGTCTGCTCCAAAACCCGATGCACTAAAAGCCACCTAGTAGAAGTAGCATCTCAAATCCAGTGTTCAAAAGCAGATATCTGCCTTATCTAAGACCCCAGTCAATGCCACCAACTGCTCAAACACAACAAATCTTGAAATTGCAGAGCTTGGGCTTGATGTTTTGGGAACATGAAAGGTCATGTGTGCACCTCAAAGAAGAACAGAAAGGAAACAAGTGGGCAGTTAAAATAATCAGAAAGAAATGGAACTCAGTTCCGCTTTGGTTTCTACTGACAGACAAGCCACGCAACAATTCCACTTCTCTGCACTTCTCCCACTAAAATAATAACTTACAGCTCATGGCAACTACATCTTTACCTGACAATGCTTGTGTCATTTTCACCACAGACAAAAGTTTTTATGGAAACTACTGTAACTGCTATAGGATTTATAAATTAGGATCTTTTAGATTCTTAGGTCTTCCTGAGTCAATGAAACTATTTGCAGGCTACCATATTTTCTCATCAAGTAGGCTGTTCTGTTTCTTGATAGCACTGTGCAAAGCCTACTTGCATGGTCGAATATTGTCATAGCCAGTGATCAAAAAACTAGCATGACTTCCATCCAAACTAGTCTGTTTAAATGTAGACATCTGTCCTGTTACCTCTGTGATAAAACATGCCTCAGAATACCCAAATTTGGCCTCCAGCTCTGTTTTGCTCAACCATAAGCTCTTAAGTTTCAGTTAGCAACATCATAAACTAATGCTTGCAAATGCATACTTTGTTAGATCATTATATCCCAGTACAAATCAAAGCCTAGTTTTGTGCATCCTTCTGCATGGAATTCCCTCCTTTAATTCAAGCTCACTGGTAACTAACTCCATGAGGAAGCTGTGGATTTCTGCCAACTCCCTTACCTAATGTATCTCTGACTTATCAGCTTATTTGAGGGCAGCAATACCCCCTTTTTCCTTCTCTTCTACTACCAATTCGCATAATTCTTGCTGGTTCTTCCTGCAGGAGCATCCAAACACAACATTGTCCCAGTTTCCTTACTGGAATTAAAAAGAAGAAGAAAAAAAAAAAATCACTCCTTCAGCCTAACTGCCTTTTAGCCCTTCAACTCTGGGGCTGTACTTCCACAAATGATTGATAATGAGTGCCTTATCTATCCTGGAAAAGTCTCACCAATCAGCACAGCTTTGCACCAACAAACCCAATGCAGTTAACAGTCACACTAGCAAAAATTAAACCACATGACTGAGTTACTCTCTCAAAAGATCTCTTTTGCTCATATTGCTGAGTTTAAAAAAGGAGACACCACAAAAGAAGAAAAAAAAAGAGTGAGGTTGCTGGTTCTACCAGGACACCCACTTAAGTATTCAGAAGCTCAGTGCAAACTCAGCCTACAGAGTTCAGTTCCCTCTTGACATTTGGGAGTTACATCTTTTTCTTCCCTGCAAAATGTAGGTTTATGCTTTGCTGTGGAGTCACTCTATCCTTCAGTCATACCTGTAAGTCTTTCATTTACCATGTGTGCTGTGTTACCAGTTCTGGGCAACTCCCAGTTTT